AACTGCGATAACAATAAAAAAAAGTTTCATTCTTTAGAACGTAGATCAACGACGACCAACAGCACAGGAACTATGACGCACAAAGGTTCTGAGGATTCCGTCACTGGGCTTCGCAGAAGCAGTGATAACTCAGCTGTTTTGTTCAATTTTTCACTGTAATCCCTGGAAGCAACAATTTTTCCCGCTAACTTCCCAGAATAGTGCAGTGTCAATCGGTGAAGTCAATGCTTACACTGCGGACGGGAATATTGGTTGGTTTAGTAGTTCTTCAGTTCAGTGACAATTAACGGGTTGTGTGTCTGGGCAACTTCGGTTACTCGCTAGTAGTAAAACACGCTAGTAAAGCAATAATTTGCTTTTTTGTTCATGATTTCCCTTACGGAAACATGTGCAAATTTGAATTTCAAAAAACGGATCTGAACCGGCTAGTGACACCAATTTCATTTTCTGATTGGAGTTTGAGAATTTCCCGTGTTCTATCATGGTTTCCCTAATCTTTTCTTGGCCACTGTTGTAGCTTTTCCAGGAGGGAAGTTGTGACATACACGATCTTTTTTTCCACATCTGCTAATTGTTACCTGCTGCTATATTTATTTTGAGCTTTATTATCCGGAAACATTCATGGAAGTTTTCGGAGCTGGTGTCAAAGGCCAAACTGGTTAATCAACAATGCAGAACGTTCATCGATCCCTCAACACATTACAACATCTAGCGCAGCCAAGAGTTACGCTGGCTGCAGTGAAAGCGATAAAGCTTCAATCAGAAATCATTGCTTTAAAGAATATACTTGGATTGTGTTCTGTCGCTAAGAAATGTAATTTGAGTGCCAGCAATTTGCAACTGGATTTCTATAGTTGTGGCTCTGAGTAATCTTAGACAAACGGTATCCTGAAAGGACTTGGTCATGTTCACTAAAACATTTCAGAAAGACCTTTATTTGCACAGTAGTAATGGTGCTGTGCAGAGTGTATAGGTTTTATATTAGGTTGACAATAAGGTAGTATGATGAATAAAAAGTTTTTTGTGACCATGAGGTTCTTCACCGGGTTACAGGAACTTTTTGAACAAGTTCGTAACGTTTAATAATGAAGCACTTGTCAGTAGCTGTGTATTGTGTATCGAATGTCATGAGTTAAGGACTGTGACTTTAAAAAACTCAATGGCATTGTTGTTATAGTTAGGTTTGTTAACAAGGTTATGCTAATTTATAACTTTTAATTTCAAGTTCTCCGTAGTTTAGCAAAGTGTTTCAAAAAGGTTGGCCTGCAGTAATATTGGTGGAGAAGAAATTGCCTAGTCTTTTTTGTTACTTTCGTTTTGTTATTTTACGTCTAAATTCATTTAAAAATTTTTAATCTGAAATACAAAATACAATTTTCGAGCTGTTTCTGTTCCCCCAAAAAAATAAGAAGTAGTGTTGTTGCAGACAGCTGAAAACTAATGGTATTTTTGTCGGTTTTTCTAGAAAAGAATAGATTGTGTAACCAAAGTTTAAAAACTGATCTCGAGGCTTTTGAGGGGAGGAGAAGTGTTGTTATTGTCAGACAGCGTGTTTTAAGTCCAGTGAAAAAAAAAAAAAGCAAAGAATCCAAAATGAAAATTTGCTGTTTTCACTCTATTGACGAGGTCTTTTCTCTATTGGTTATCTCATTTTAGAACTTTTAATTCAGTCATTCCTGAAGAACGTTTGATTTAGGACGTGTGAAATTTTCTAACCTCTAAATCTACACTATGTCTAATGTGCAGTCGTTAATACGTCATCGAACTTGATCAAATTCTTGTGGTTCTTATTCTGAGTAACAATTTTAAGGTGAATTTATGGTATGTTAAAATAAACAGAAAAAAAGTAAAAGAGACATTGAACATTTTTTACGGGCCAACTTAACTACGTAAGACTAGACTCCTGCGTGAAAGTTGCGATCGCTTACGTTATTATGTGCTGTAAAAAATATTCTGATGTTTTCATTCTTTTAGGAGGTGGCACCAGTGCTGGATTCTGCTTATAAAGCGTTCTCAGTTTTTCAGGGTTTGACTGCAAGGGAAGAAGTTGAACTGAGGAACAGAAATTCAGCTTAATCTTCAAAGAAGACTTAGAAGCTAACTGTTTTTTCATACAGATGTACATTATCTCGACTGTGATTGAATCAGACGTGAGGAGGCCATTTTTTGAAGTTGGTAACTGAACTGGAAATTTTATGGGAATTTTATTAGAATTCTCGAGTTAAGCTTCTCGTGGAGCCCTTCTATATCTGAAGTGTAGGGTGAGTTTTGACAGAGATTTACAAAGCCCTTTTCTAATTGGTCAGAAAGTTGCACACGAGGGCAAATGATTCCAAAGGCATTTTTGGTATTAAATGTTTTTTTTTTTAACGCGATTGGTGCGTCTTGCTGAAAACAGCTAACTGTCCGGCAGACTGAAATCGTCACCTCAAAAGATAATCCTCTTGTTGAAATATTGGTTGAAACGCAATTTACTAATGATGCATATACTCGTAGTGGATTTAAGGCAAGTATGTTTAGCTTCGGCGTTATGTTAGCAGAAAGAAAAGGTTCTTTCCTGTCTGCAGGAATAATTGCACCAACAGATTCAAGAAAAAGCTTGGGAGCCAGTGGACCTAAGTACAAGTACCGTAACCGCACTGGTGAGAGTAGTAAAACGTCTGGAACGACATCTCGATCAGTTAATGCTTACGTAGTCTTCTGTTAGTTCTTTCTAGGGTTCAGTTTGATAATTTCTAATTCTAAAAAAAGTTTCTGGCAAAAAATTGAATTTTAGCTGTAGTGGAGGGTCGCGGTTCTTCCAAGGGTGAAGTTGGTTTTGCTAGTATGGATGCACTGGGCTCGGAATTAAGCATTTGTCAATTTTTGGATTCATTATCATATGCTAGGCTCAGAGTCATGCTACATGTGCTAGATCCTGTCGAGGTATCAGTCAACTTTGATGAAATTATTTTTTCTTTGTTTCTTTTAAGAACATTAGGAAATCTTGTTTTAAGGCTTAAGATTTTGATGAGTAAATGTACCTCAAGAAAGTTATTTAAGTGGTTTTTGTCTCTGATACAGGTTATAGTTCCGGAATCAGTTGCTGATAACGGAAGTTTCAAAAACCCTATTGTTGAAATGTTACAGAACAGTTTTCCTGATATCGAAGTAACTAAAATTAGTCGCAGATTTTTTAAGTAAGTTTATCAGTTGAATAACGCTTACTTCCTAGTAAGACGTCTGAAGCTAATGCCTGATACACTACACTTTTACTGCTGTCCTTATTAAAGCCGTTTAAGACACTTCTGTTTAGCGACTTGAGAGGAGCAGAACTTATTCAACAGCTTGGTTCATCCGAACTGTCACATCTTACGAGGGATATGTTCAAGAAGTGATTAACTTCCTAAACTTCTAATTTTTTGCCGTTTTGCTTATCAGACTGTTGAGATATTCGTGGTTTGATTCAGGTATTACTGCATGTCTGCAGTCAGCGCCTTGATCAAGTATATTGAATATATACAAAATATCCTCTTTGCGCATGCCTCTTTGAAGATTACATACTACAGAATGGAAAAAACTTGTTTTATAGGTGGTTTCTTAAATTACATCTAAATCAAACTTATCTATCATTTTAAAATTAATTATTTCTGACTAATCAGTATGCTTACAGATGTAAACACATTAAAAAATATTGAAGTCATTAGAGGAAGGATTTCGAATCGTAAGGAACAAAATCTTAGCTTATTTGATTTTTTGAACACTTGTTCTACCAGTGGTGGCACGCGGATGTTAAGGAGTTGCCTTTTCCAACCTTCCGCTGACGTCGATTTAATTCTCGATCGATCTAACGCTGTGGAGGAACTGTTAAGCAATCAGCCAGTTAGTGGAGATTTAGAATATTATTTCTGGTCTCTTAGTCAGTCACTGAAGTAGCTGTTTTTGAATAAATATTTCTGAATATAAATTAATTCAGCTTACTTCAATTATTCAGAAATTTGAACGACTGCGAGCAATAATTGGTAATGCTGGAGACATACAACAACTGATAACAGTGTGTTGTTATATGAACACAACATTTGACAGCATTCGATGCACGGAACAAAAGATTTCTGAAGTATGCCGTATGAATTTTATCTAAAATATGTCCGCAAACTAGTAATCCAACAGTAATGATTTGCAAAGGCAAAACACTATTTGTTTGAGCTCTTTTCTAATAGCCTTCTAAATGCCACGTGTTTCCAGCTCATTTTTCCTCTCTATCTGTTACTCCTGAAAAGATCAGTGTTGTAATTCATAAGAGTTACTCTGAAATTTAGTTGCTTGGCTCTTTTAATCATGTCAGGAGAACAATAACTTTTCAATTTGCAAGAAAGCTGAAGATACAGCTTTTTTTTAAAAACAGAAGAAGTAAGCTCCTTTTGTGTTAAAACAGTTTTTTCAGGTTCTTTGTTTGAGGCAGACGATTTTGCTAATTGAGCCACTAAAACTTGCGCTTGAATCTAGTACAGCTCAAATTTTCAAAACTTGCTATCAGGTTTGTCTTTAAAATCGATGTTTAAAAACGTGTGTTCGGTAATGGTGAATGGGAATGTTACAAAGTAAAGTTTTATTTTAGCATCTTTGCGATCCACGCTTTGATGGTATTTCAGAAAAACTAAATGCTCGTTTGGATCCCAATGTTATGATACATGAGCGCACCTCGCTCGCCAACAGATATAAAAGATGCTATGCTATACGGGTTTATAACCTTAACTTTTCTAAGATTTCTGCACTGTGCCATCAGCATTTCAAAAAAATTTAATTTCTTTATTAGTTTAGTCTGGTCAACATGTTATGGTCGATTTAGCTCGGAAAGCTTATGAAGAGCTAGTGCGAGACGTCGAAGGTAGCCTAAAGCTTTTTTGCTGAAGCGCATGCAAGTAGTAGTTATAAATAGAGAATACTCACCGAATAGCAGAACATCGGTGCTGTTGTCAAACGACTTTTCTGATGGAGAATACAGGAAGCCATTAATTCAAACGGCTAACGTTCTGCTATAGGACTGAACCTTCTATTGTCATTTGAAGGCCTGAGCGTTTTTTAATCAGTTCTGCTCTATTTTTCAAGAAAAAGCAAAAGAAGAAATGGCTTGTCTTTCCGGAGCCCGTTTGATTTTCACCACTCAACGCGGTTTTCATATCCTGGTCCCCAGCATGAATCCTTTGTGTCCAGTAAAACTACCTGCACCATTCATACAGGTCGTTCGGAATCGTTCGTCTGTGTCATGTACTACACGATCTTTGATTAAATACAACGGTTGGTTTTAACTTTTTCTGAATCTTTTTGCGACGATTTCTCGTGCGCTAATGAAACTCGGAATCTGGAACTATTAATGGCAGTTCAAAACTGTTGTCTTTTTTTGAAGTCTTTCTATGTATTGTGTATTTCCCAGTTTCTTAATGCACTTTCTAGATCGCATCAACGACGCAGTCAATGAGATTATGGTTGGCAGTAACATAGTTATCGCCCAACTAATGGAAGAGGTTGTAATATTGTTTCACTTTTACTTTACGACATGGGTGTAGTCGTTTTAACTTTTTTTTTGAGACTTACTGACTTCAGTTGTTTATCAAACTCGAACGGCTAAAATTACCGTTTAATTAGATTGACCGTTTTTCTTTTGATTTAAAAAACACGTGATAGTGCAAGACCAATTTTTTTTTGGTTAATAGGTGGATTTTTTTGATAGTAACATAGCGTCGTTGTTTTTTAATATTTTTCCTGATTGTTACTGAAAGTCTTGGTCTTGAAGAGCTTTTTTTTTGTTACTTCTTTCAATGCTTCACTACAAAATTTTCTATGTCATATATTACCAATTAAAAAACTTTATGACCTGCTAATGTGACTTGACAGTTTATTGTTATAATTTTTAACATTTGGATGCCAGAGGAATTTCTGTGCAAAAGGTTACGTTGAAGTTAAGATAAAAATTTCTGTAGGTGGTGCAAATTTCATTCAATGGAATATCAACGTGAACTAATTTTAATGTTTTCATGCATCTTTTACTTTTAGCTTTTGCTTTTCAGATCAGGCCCTTAATCTCGTGCCTTTATCACTTAGTTGAAGTGGTTTCTCTCATAGATTTCTTAATGTGTCTTGCAACTTATGCCTTTAAAGTACCTACTGGTGAGTTAGGCTGTTTGAAGATACATCACAATCAAGTTTCACATATGTCAGCCTTTAACAGTATGTGAATCTCATCAGTTAAACCGACCTTTGCTGCTTCAAATGCTATGGTTATCAAGCAAGGACGTCATCCGTTGCTCGACATGATTTCAGATAATGTTATCGCTAACGATGCGGTATCTTTCTTTATTCATGCAAATAGAGGTTTTTTTGCATAGTTTCTTCTATGAAAGTAAACGGAATTAAGTCAAAAGAGTTGCTTTATCTTAGTAACCGTCTACGTCAAAACTCAATGTTGTGATAAAAGTGCATGCGAAGCGGAAAGACTTTTAACTAAAATTTCTAGTTTTTGAAGTGAAAAACTCAAGTTTTTGCAGTACTTGTCTCCAGAATCCAGGCTTGTAATAATAACTGGTCCAAACATGGTTAGATTTTTTGCTATCAGTTGTATATTGTCATAGGTTTTAACACGATGATTATAATGAATTTGAGAACACGCTTCTTGAAACATTTCTATGAAAAAAGTTTAGTGCACAAAAGAATTAGGTTGAAAAGAATACCAGGATACGTTTTATTGTAACAACTTTTACACTAAACCGACCTTGCTGAAAGCTTTCAGGCTGGCAAGTCAACGTATTTAAAGCAGTTATGTTTGCTCCAAGTTCTTGCCCAAACCGGTAGCTATGTTCCAGCAGAATTCGCTGGCTTTCCTGTAGTACAGAGGATTTTTTCACGAATAGGTCACAATGACGACTTGACAAACAATCTGTCTTCATTCGCTTTAGAGGTGACCGTTTGGCTACTTTTAAAGTATTGATTTCTCTTTATTTGTTGTATTTCAGCGGTATTTTTTTCCAGATGTCTGAAATGGCACCAATATTCGCAGCTGCAGATAGTACTAGTCTTGTTGTTGTCGACGAACTTGCACGTAGAAAGTTTTTAATCTTCTTAAAGTTAAATTTAAAAAGTGGGGCATTTGATTCCCTACATTCGGTAGGAGCTGCAGATTAAACTTATCTTTTTGATTGCTAAGGTCATGCGTATTTTGCACAACAGCAGCTCGAAATTTTAGATACTGCCACAGAGGAAGGGATAGCGTTATGTTTTGGCTTCTGCGAAGAGATGTTGAAAACAAAGGTTTTTTCTTTACACTGTGTCACTTTTATCATTGCTGTTAAGCAGTACAGTTTGGTTATCAGTTCCTTTCAGGCGTTTGTTGTTTTCGCAACTCATTTTTTGGACCTAACTTCACTTGCAGCAAACTTCGCAACTGTTGAGAAGTATGTATTGCTTGTTTCCCACAAATCTCCGATTCTTTCCTGTACCTTCCATTTTGTTTCTTGTAACTGCTTTTTAAAGTGTATGTTCAGCTACCACTTCTCAGCAACCACATACACTTATAAAGTACCCGATAAGGATGAAGTCCAGGTTTTGAAATGTAACCATCATTTATATAAAGGGCCTTATAGGGGACCTCTATATGGTAATTGTCGTTGGTCGATAAGGATGCTTTTTTTTATCATGGAGAAGTGCTTATCAAATTTTTATTTCTTCATGAACAGAAACTGTAAAAACCATCAGTCAAGCAGCAATCTAAATTTTATTTAATTACATGGTCATAATTTTGACAAATAATTCTTGAGAATTTTTACGTATTTTCATTTACAGGCTTTAACATCGCAGAGCTCGGAAATTTTCCGAAAGGACTACTTGATGAGGCAAAAAGTTTCGCAGAAAAACTTCGAGCCGGTAAACAAACTGCGAGTTTGATGAGCGAAGAATCACGAAGACGGCGAGCTGTCCTTAGATTTGGATACAAGTTACGTTCGATGTTGCCAATTCTGAAAGTTGCTGATTTCGCAGCAGCTAGTAGTTACCTAATAAATCTTCGTCAGCAACTCCGTGAAGATTTGTCAGAAATTCATGCTGCTACAAACGAAAGAAGTTTCGACAGATGTGCAGGTTCAACTGCCACTGGTCAATGATGCTCTTATTCGGCGTAGTAGTGGCGGATATATGAATGTCTCAGTTTTGAAGAAGCTGGTTCGACAGTTGTATAAAGCACTGCCTATTACTGTGTTGACTACAAATTTTGATTTTTTCCAGTTCTTCTGCATCATCTGTTCAGAATTCCTTCGTTGTAGAAGTTTCAGGCTAACGTAATATGTCTGTCAAAGAGTGTTGTCTGTACATGGGTTTTTTAAAATTCTCGTTACTTATAATCGTTTTGTTAGTAACTGACTGCTACAAATAAAGATTTCATTTCTCTCAATAATTCCAGAGAAAATGAAACAATGAGATCTTAGGATGATAGGTAATGGCGAACAAGAATAGTTAAGGTTTAGAGCTGCTCCGCACATTGTTTACCAGTAAAGGAGGTTTCCGAAAGAAGTTGGATCCCTGGCCTCTTAAAGATTTTTGTTTTCTACCGAAAAATATTTTCTCAAGCTCTAAGGCCGGTATTTCAACAACAAAAAAGGTATATAGGGCAAAAAAGTGGGTGAGAAGCAGTTGTACAATAATCCACTGAACGATCTGCAGTTTGTTCTCGTAGATAATTGGGGAATGCAGGTTTTCATAAAATCCCATAATTATGATTAAGTGAATCAAGTACACCTAAAAGAACAATAATGGTGTAGAAGAACTCATTTCGAGACGTCTCATAGACCTGTACTGATGGCTGAACTATTTTAACCTTACCGAATAACACATTGCGGATAGCGGAATGAAAACACGACAGCCTAAGAACGCATTGATGATTCCACCAAAGCCACTGTGGCATGCATAGATAAGCCATGCAATGGCAATCGCCCAAATGTTACGAAAGAATGCGCCAAAGACTGCATTATATATATACCATTTCCAAACCTAAACAAAAAGCTTCGTCTGGCTCTGGAAGTTAGTTCAATTTTTTTATCGGATACTATGACAGTGAAATATGCGGGAATCTGAAAAACCTCTGAATCAAACTTGAGATGGAAATCATACCTGAATGCTCGGGTATAGGCCGAACAGTGCAAAAAGTCCTAAGCAAGTGGCACCAATCCAACCGGCAGCTGCAGCCAGCTTTGGATATTTTAACTTTTGCAAGGCACCGGTATGGTAAACTAAATGGTATCCCAAAATAACTCCAATTAAATATGACCCAATATGCGGAGTTGGTTTGATATAAATTTCAAATGTTTGCTGCAAAAAAAAAGAGCACTGATCGAACAATCTTTTTTGACGTCACATTAAAACTGCAGTTTGCGGGAAAGAGTTAAAGCCAATAAAGATTATTTTGCTGCAGAAAATTAGTCGTAGAATGGTACTGAAAACCTCATAAAGCGATGAGTTGTAAAGTCCCGGCTCAGACCAGGGAAGCTGCGACGACGGATAATTGTTGATATAGATGTTCAATCCCAGCATAAAGCTAGTAATTGTGATGACACTGCCACATAATGTCAAACCAAAAATATACGAATGTCGTAATGCTAGCAAAAATATTGGTGTTATCAGATAGAGTAGGAATTCAACACTTATATACCTGAAACTGTCCTTCATAATACATAACATTAGCATTTTGGCATTTTCCTAGATTGAGGACTACGCTATGCACCGTTGCAATGCTGCTGCTGCTCCTTCTCTCTAACTTTGCCTCAAAAGCAGCAAGTAAATTAGCGCATTGAGGTCTAAACAGAGTGAATTCCATGTTATGAATGAATAGTTTCCTCTCAAAGTTTTCTTTTACTTTCTCCCAGATCCCTGAAAGACTTACTCACTCTTCTGTGCGGCTTTCCGATTCTTTTATGTTTTACTTCGTTTTTGTCATTTATGTGTTTTTTTCTGTAACAGAAGTAGCAAACCTGGTAACATAGTTGATGTCATGCTCATAAGCGCACTTAAGGAGGCTTAAAATCGACATAGGAAATCTGAAGTGAACAGTTCTCCTGCTGGTATTGATGTTCTACTTATGTGGATACTATAGTGCGTGTTACAACGAAAGACCCCTCTAGCTACCCTGAGCTTTTATCAGGGATCTACAGCACGACTAAATTGAAGTCAAGTAAGAAAATTTACTCGAAATAAAAGTATTTGTGATGACTGAGAGAGTGTTCCAGTAGCCTTATCTTTTTATCACTTGAATAAGATGTCTTCAAATAACTGCAGGATCAAGTTTTACGAGAAGTAAGGAGCAATTTATTGAACGTTTTAAAAAACTTGAATGCTCTGTATCTACCTGAGAAAAGATTTTTCGTCGTTATCGGTAGTCTCTGCTTTATTAATATTGAATTATGTGAAGCCTAAAGGTGTAAAACGCATTCAGATGATTAAAGGCCTAAAGGTGCTATCAAGGGCTGCTTCGAAAAAAAATTCAAAGTTGTCTGGTTCAGTATTCGATAATGTCCCGTTCTGATTTAATGGTTCTCATTCCTTGTACTAGTATGTTGCCGACAGTATTTCTATCCTATTCTTCTACCCGGTGCCGTTATCTTTCGTGTTCTTTTTTCCAATATGTATTTACATTTGTTTGTAGGCTGCATTTTAGTAAAAAGTTCTTCAATTTGTGCGCAAAATAAGAAAATTCTCTCGTAAGAAAATTGTTTTTTTTCTTTTCACTATCTCTCTTCGCACTTGGTTCTCCTCTCCAATCTAATTCTTTGAACTTAGAGCAGCCAGTGTCATACATCGCGATATGCATAGAACGAACCTCTCATGTATTTGCGAAGAAAAAAAAAAAAAAAAAACTAACCAAGTCCAACCAAGACAAGGTGTATGGGTGAAACAGTTGATAAAAAATATGTTTTCCAACCAATGTTTTGGACACTGAATGTGTGGGTCTGTATCTGGCCATACAGAACTTGTCGAGTGTACTGATGAGCGAAATGTGGCAAAAATAATAATGTAGATGTAAGCTGGCCAAAGTCGTACTAAACGATGTCTGTAGAAGCGAAGCCAATATCCGTAGCTTCTCCAGCTGACACCTGCAATAAACCTACTTTTAGCTTTTTATAACTAAAAGTTGCAGACAGTGACGGACTTCAAACTTATTGCTACAAGGATTACTCATTGCTTTTAGAATTCACTTGTGTTTACTTAGATCAATCTGCAAAGTAGTAGCGCTAGTCAAAATGTTCATAAGGCACTATGTAATCTTGCCAAGGACAAGTCTAATTTTGTAGATATAGAATTCGTTATAAAGATTTTTATTAACATACCTTCTAGTTTCTTGGCAGCACTGAACCACGAATACGATGTTAGGGCGGCACTCAAAAGGAAGAATGTATTTACAGAAAGTGTAAAATTCGAAATAAATTGTGCAAAGAAATTTGATGAGATGTCTTCTCGGTACTCGTTTATATTTTTTATGTACCCCTGGAAATTCACTTTAATTTTGCACACCATTTACCTGAGATGATCAGTAATCTTTTTGATGCTTAACAACACAAACTTCAAAACCTAGACTTTTCTCTTTTATTAACAAATGAGCGTAACATAATACGAGAAGTCTCAACCTGGACCCATGCAAAAGCATGACCAGTGAAAACCCAAATCATTGATATGACACGTAATCCCATTAGGCATCGAATCGTAATTTTTGATTTACTTGGTACTTTGTATAGCCGTTTGACAGTGCGCCTACCCGAAAATGCCATTAGTGCACGCATTACTATGGACCTGAAAACTTCAGGCCCTTAAAAAGAAAATTAATCGTAGGAAAAAAAAAACGAGGAGGTTTGAACTGAACTTAATATTTTCAATTTCAAGAAACTACGTGTACTAGAAATTTACTTTGTTTTGGGGCGCCTGACGCAGTCGAACACCGTGATGAACGCAATTAGAGCAATATAAGTTTGATTTATGCAAATGTCTACAAGAGTTGAACTTAATGCATTCCACTGCGTTTTTTTGCGAGATTCCAAGCATTCTACCTCACTTAAAGGCTTATGTGATCCATTTTTGACATTCAGGTCAGTCCATAGTTGGAGGAGCTGAAAAAAGTATGTTGCTTATAAGCGGTGTTGAAAGACACACTCTTCCTGTGTCTTTGATTGTAACAGTTTAAAAAACTTTCTTTTTTTCATCCAAGTTCATCTTACCAACTTAAATTTTGAAAACCCTATTACTCTGCGACTTCGTTTTAAAACAAATTTTAATTTTTCTTTCACAGCCGCTATTACTTCTTTCTAGGCTTTACAAAAAACCAAAAGATTTGAAGAAAATTTCGCCTTTAATTTATCGCTTTTGTAAAATTTCAAATTTCAGTAGTGCATTCGCAACGGCATTAGCAGAGTCTAAGCTGAAGCCTGCATTGGCGGAAATCGTTATGAAGACATTTGTATGAATTTTACATGCTGAAAGAAAGTGCTTTTCAGACGTAATGTAGGTGTCTCTGCTTTTGATGCTGTTAGCCTAGAACGGAAAGAAAGTTATTCATTACTTGAGTTGCATCATCTTCGCAAGGTTGTGGTAGGCATATCGCATATCCAGTTTTCATATCTGTATCTGCTCCATAACAGAAATCTAGTGGGTACTCAGAACGAGCGTATGGTGTGTCACCGGAAGCTCGAAAGCAACTTTTAAAGCTAAACAGCTGAAAAAAATTTGTTGATATATTCATGACTGATCTATCAAGGTAATAAACGGAACAGTAATTTGAACGTCCAGTTTTAAATGAAACCTAGGTAGATACCCAGCGGTCGTCGCCGACAAAATCAGCATTTCCTTTGGTAAAAGAGTAATAAAAGCCTTCCCGTTCTTCCTCCAATACATTGCGAGAAGAAAGAAACCGTGGTATCTGAAAAGAATTTAAATGTAAAGCCCCTAATGAAAAAGTATCATATCTTCACATCTAGAGATTTTAGACAGTAACAGAGAGGGAATAAATCAAAAGTAGATAATTAGGAAATGTGTTGAAAACAATGACAATACATACTTTATTGATACTGCTTCTGCATACTTCACTTATTTTATACTGTAATGCCGTATTAAAAAACTCGTTAATAACGTCGTTATCAAAATGTGTCAAAGCAAAAGTTCGTGTACTGTACAGGAGAATCAACAAAATATTACAGCAATAAGCTTTGAACGACATAACTCTGTAGCCGACACCGATGCTGCAGCAAAAAATACACTCAGCGATCGCTTCGACAAATTTAAAAACCTGTTGTTATAAACGGCAAAAAATGTTATACGCAATTTTGCATATCCTGGAATCACACATTTTTTTCTAATATTAACTTATCACTTAAGAGAAAATTTTTTTTACCAAACTTTTTACCAAACTATATCTGAATTTTCAAGTCTTTTTTTCAAAGTATGGCGTTATAATGCAGCAGCAATACTTCTTTTACTTCTGAAATCTTAGGCACAGTTTATTCAAAATTTAAGCATATAATCCACTCCCTTACAAACTCTCTAATTTCACCCTCATCCTCTAAATAAAGTTTATTGACTTCTTGGCTTGGCAAAACTATTTCATTTTCTTGACAAATAAATAAAAACCACTAAAGAATGGCGTTTTCACATATCAAATAAAAGTTTTAAAACGAGTTCAAGTGTGGAATAATAATAAAACAAAAGCAAGATAGGTTAAAGAAAGGCAGGCAGTATGTTCTTCACTGGCATTACCACACGCTTTCGCTTTTGAAACATTCTCTAAATCACAGATACAGGAAGCCAAAATTTGTAAACTAGCGAATAAAAAAAATCCAATATTAAGAGAATAGAATAGTTTTGTTTGCAGATAATAACATTCAATTAAAAGCCTTTAAAAAACCTTAAATGTTTTGCTGCAAAAATATTTTTTTTTGCTTTTTTTATGGATCAACAAACAAAGTCCAAAAAGAACATCAACAGAATTGCCGGAATCAATAGAAATTTGAAGAAACCAGTCGATCTGAGATACAGTAAGAGTAATGTTAATGAAAAAACACTATCTATTCGAAATTAGAAAATTGTAGTATCAATTAACACTTTTTTTTCAAATTTGTTTTTTTAAGATAATTTATGATTGTTTTCGGTTTGAAAGCATTTATTCTTTAGACTAAAAGTGAACCATTTTGCCGACAAACGATAACAACCTATCACTATCATCAGATGACTTTCAAACAAAAAAATTAAACAAAAAGAACCGTAATGGTCATTTTCAGAAAAAATTATCTAAAAACAAAGTAACAGCATGTACTGAAAAATAAACATGTAGTTATCTTAGGTCAAAACTTTTTTGCTTTTACAGTAATAAATAAATAAATAAAATAGAGTCAAGAAGGATTCTGTCAACAACAGTCAGCATATATCCGAAGTCTTGATGATTATATGGCAGCAATTTTGAAAATAGTAATTATAACAATAATAGTAATAGTAATAATAGTAATAATAATAATAATAAT